CCATACACTGGTCCCCATACGACCGCGTTGGCGTGGTGAACGCCGATCCTTAAGGACTTTCGCCGGCGCATCTCTGCGCCCAACCCCCGCTTTCAACGCCCGCCCTCGGCGCCTTTCAACTTCAACTGACGCCTTTGAACTCCACCCCGACGTTCGCTCGTATGGAACGACCCTCAGCGTCGTTCATCGTCGCGAAGAAGCGCGAGATCGCGGCGAGCGGTCGCCTGGGCGGCGGCGGCGGCACCGACGGCGACGACGACGACGACCCGTCGCTCGCGAAGATCCACCGCGACGTCGTGCGCCGCGCGGAGCGGTGGATCCTCCGCGAGGAGGGCAAAGAGTCCAGAGACGACGACGCGGACGCGGTCGTCCGCCGACGCGTCGGCTTCGGCGAGGACTCGCGCGCGGTCACGGAAGTCCTGCAGCGCGTCCCGCTGTTCGCCGCGCTCGACCGCACGCAGCTGATGGTTCTCCTCCGCGAGGGCGCGCACGTGGAGACGCATCCGCCGGGCCGCGACGTCGCCGTCCAAGGCGACGAGTCGGGCGCGTCCTTTCCTCACACCGGTTCCCATACGACCCCGTTCGCGTGGTGAACGCCGATCCCTAAGGACTTTCTCTCCCGGCGCATTTCTCCGCCCGCCCCTCGGTTTCAATCCCGACACACCGCGCGCGACGCCTTTCGACTCCAACAACTGACGCACCCCTGAACGCTACCCTGATATCGTCGCTTCGTATGGGCAAACACCCTCAGTCTCGATGTACGTCGTGTTGGAGGGCGCGCTCGAGGTGAAGACGGAAGTGTTGCAGGCGCGTTCTGTCTTCACACTGGTCCCCATACGACCGCGTTCGCGTGGTGAACGCCGATCCTTAAGGACTTTTGCCGTCGCATCTCTCCGCCAATCCCTCGCTTTCAACGCCCGCCCGCGGCGCCTTTCAACTCCAACTGACGCCTTTCAACTCCACCCCGACAATCGCTTGTATGGAGCGACCCGCAGCCCGGGGCGTCGAACCAAAACTTGCTGCGGGGGAAGACGGAGCGCGTGTCGCTCGGCGAGCTGACGCGCGGCGACGCGTTCGGCGAGCTCGGGTTGCTCGTCGGCGCGCCGCGCACCGCGACGGCGACGGCGACGTACGCGGGGGCGACGGTGCTTCGCCTCGCGTCGGTCGCGATCGCGCCCATCATACGGAACGTTCGGTCGTTCGCTGTGACCGCGAGCGTCGTGTTGGCGGCGTCGGGGATGCGGGAGGCGCGCGCGCGCGCGCGGGCGCGGGCGGGTGACGGAGAGGGGGAGGGAGAGGGAGACGACGAGCGCGCGAGGGAGACGGAGATCGCGTCGAGGGCGGAGCGCGTCGCCGCGTCCATCGCGGCGTGGTCCTCGTCCTCCGCGTTCAGACGCGGGAGACGGAAGAAGGAGAAGGACGGCGGCGGGAGGGGTGCCGAGGGTGCCGACGGAGGAGTCCACGCGTCGTCTTCCGATTCGTCGTCGTCGTCCGGCGTGTTCCCGGAGAAACTGTCCGACGGTCTGCGGTTCCATCCGTACTTCACCGGCCTCACGACGGAGGAGAAGCGCTTCGTCAAGAGCCGTTGCCGCGCGAGACGCGTGGACGTCGGCCGCGCGATCTTCACGCAGGGCGAGCCCGGCGAGAAGGTGTTCATCGTGCTCGAAGGCAGCGCGATCGTGTACAGAGAGAGCGGCGAGGGCGCGGCGCGGACGCGGACGAGAGTCGCGGAGCTGTCGCCCGGGCAGACGGCTTGCGAAAACTCGAGCTGGTTTGGCCGACCGCACCGCGTCACCGCGGTGGCGTCCGGCGGAGGGTGCGTCGTCGTCGAGGTGGAGGCGGCGACGATTCGCGAGGTGGTGGAGAAGCGGCCGATGCTGAAGGACGTCGTGGACGATCTCATGACGTTCTTCGCGGAGCAGCGGCGATGAGACGAGTTGTCTAGCTAGGCGGTAGACAACACGTTACGGTATAGATAGACGCGATAGACGCGTGCCGTAGAAGAAGTGCTGTCGCATCCAGTCACGCGCCTCGTCAGCGGTCTTGTCTGCTGACCGACCGACCAGCCCGACGGTTGAGGGGCTGGGAAGTGCTTCCGGATCGTCGATCGCCCACAACGACCCGCGGCCGCGCTTCGACGGACGCTCCGCGCGCGCGACACCCTCGGCGAGACACCCCCGAGCGACCGCCCGCCGCGACCACCCCGCGCGGGACGGCCTCGCTCGCGCCCTCGTCCGTCGCGCGCGTCGACGAAAACCTCTTCGTTCTCGGCACGATTCGGCGTCGATGACGGCTGCGACGACGACGTCGAGCGCGCTCGTCGGCGGCGTCGCGATGCGATCGCGCGTCTCCGCGATCCGCCCGAGGGCGGCTCGCGTCGTCATCGCCGCGCGCGCGTCGTCCTCCGCGCCCCGCCGCGCGTGCCTCCGCGCGGCGAACGCGTCGACGCGACGCCGCGACCGCGTCGTCGCGCGCATGGGCTTCTTCGACAACTTGTTCAAGAAGAAAGACGGCGACGACGACGCGTCCGCGGCCGCGGACGCGTCCGCGGACGACGACGCGTCCGCGGACGACGACGCGCCGTCCTCCTCCGCGCCGGCCACGGCGTCTCCCGCCGCGAACGAGGACCCCGGCCCGCCCGTCGCCGCGCAGATGGTCGAGTACCAAAGCCTGAAATCGATGCCGAAAGCCACGGAGACGCTCTCCGCGCTGGACGCGCTCCTCGGCGAGAGCGAGGAGGAGAAAGCGCGCAAGGCGCAGGACGCCGCGGACGAGGCCGCGTACGAGGCGAGCAAGACCGCGGCGGCGAAGAAGAAGGCTGAGATCGCCGCCGCGGTGATGGCGAGCGCGGACGAGAAGGACGGCGGCGCGTCGTCGGCGGCGGGCGACGACGACGCCGCCGACGGCGTCAACGTGTCCATCTCCCCGAACGCGCTCAAGGCGCTCCGCGACGCGGAGAGAGCGCGCGCGACCGGCGGCGAGAAGGACGCGGCGACGGACGAAGCGGCGACGGACGAGAAGGACGGCGCCGTGGACGCGCGCGAGGAGACGCTCAGCGCGGTCGTGGACGTCCTGAGCTCGAGCGCGAAGAAGGATCGCGACGAGCGCACCAAGGAGGAAAACGAGAAGCTCGACCAGGTCTTGAAAGATCTGAACGACCTCACGAAGATGAGCAAAGAGGAGCGCGACTCCGCGGAGGTCAAGGCGAAGTTCGAGTCTCTGTTTGAGATTCTCGACGTCGACGTCTCGCCGACGATGAGCAAGGAGGACGTCAAGCGTCTCAAGGACGAGGTGTTCGGATACAACACGTTCTACGTCACCGGCACGTCCGAGCTCGGGGAGGAGCTCGGGGTCTCGGAGGGCGTCCTCGTGAAGGGGAACTTGCGCGCGGACCGCGCGGAGGTGTGGAAGACGGTGCAGGAGAACGTGGAGCGGGTGTACGAGGGTAAGTACACGGTGTTCATGCTGGAGGAGCCGCCGGCGGACTTTTTCGGCGACGACGACGACGGCGGGTCCGGCGCCGGCGCGTCCATGAGCGGGTCGTACGACGCGTCCGACCCGACGAACACGCGCGGACCGAGGATATCGTTCCTCATCGTCCCGGCATCCAAGGCGGGGCCGAACCCGAGGACGAGCGCGTTTCAGTACGTCGTCGCGATCGCGTTGTTCGGGTTGACCGCGGGAAGCGCGTTGCAGCTCGGACTCGTCGCGGAGGTGTCGCGGCTCCCACAGGCGACGATGGACTGGCTCGCGGCCGGGTCGCAAGGGATCGACACGAGCCTCGCACCCGGGGAGTTGCCCCCCGGTCTGGACGGGTTCGACAGCGCGGCGTACATCGCGGGGGCGGTGCCGATCGCGGGCGGGATTTACGCGTCGGCGGCGGCGCACGAGATCGGCCACTGGATCGCCGCCGCGACCAAGAAGATCAAGCTGTCGATTCCGTACCCGATCCCGAACGGCCAGCTCGGGACGTTCGGGAGCATCACGCAGATCAAGAGTTTGCCGGAGAACAGGACGGATCTGTACGACGTCAGCGTCGCCGGGCCGATCGGAGGGTTCACGGTGGCGAGCGCGTTGTTTTTTTACGGGCTCGCTCTGAGCGCCGGCGGCGGGGATCCGAACGAGCTTCTGCCGATACCGAACGAGCTGTTTCAAGGGTCGCTGATGCTCGGCGCGATCTCGGAGGCGATCTTAGGTGGGACCGCGGATCAGGTCAAGGGGGTGGCGGTGCATCCGCTGTTCATCGCGGGATGGTGCGTGCGTTTCGGTTTCGGTCGGTCGGGTCGCTCGTCCTCTCGACGGACGGAGGCGGTTTTTTTTTCTCGCCCGCTCGCTCGCGCGTCGTGTCCTAGGACGACAACACACCACATCGACTTGACGGTCGCGCGGTGTTACCCCCCCGCACTGAAAAGTGCGGGGGACTTTTGCCGCACGGCACTTGGAGGCACACTTCCATGACACTGAGGACGTCCTTCGCGCGCGCCAATTGACTACATACATCTTTTGCTTTTCGACGCCTTCCCCCCGCGCGAGCCGTCTGACCGGACGCTCCATCCCCCCGTTCCCACCCCTTCCTCATCAGGTGCGGCCTCGTGACGCAAGCGCTGAACTGCCTCCCCGTCGGCCAGATCGACGGCGGCCGCATCACGCAGACCGCGTTCGGGCGCAGGGCGCTCGGCGCGACCTCCCTCGGCGTCTACCTCGGGCTCTCGCTCGGCGTCATCGGGTCTTCGATATCGCTCCCGTGGGCGTTGTTCATCCTCATCTGTCAGCGGACCCCCGAGTTCGCGCCGAAGGACGACGTCACGGAGGTATCGCCGGAGCGACAGAACTTCGCGCTGCTGCTGATATTCGTCTCGCTCATGATCTTGCTCCCGGGCGCGGACTTCTCCGGGTTGGCGAGCGACCCTCTGTTGCCGTGAGTTGACGCGAGACGACGATCGACGCGCGAGCGCGCGGCGGGCGCGCGGACGGGTCGGGCGGAGAGAGGCGCGCGAGGCGAGAGAGAGAGAGAGAGAGGAAGGAGCGCGCGGGGCGCGAGTCGAGCTCGTTCGCGACGCGCGCGCGTAATAATACACATCGAAAGAGACGCGACGACGCCACCTGAGCGCGGCTCAAGACTGACATCGATCGCAAATTTCCGTTTTCGTCCGCGCCTGCCTCGACGCTCGACCATCGAAAGTTGACGTCACCGCTGCTTGACCGCTTGTTCCGGGAAAAAATCACTTCGGCGATCTCGGTTTTCGATTGAGATCGTTTCCCGGGAAGCGCGCGAGTACGAAATTCCGTACGCGCGTCAGTCAGGAATTTCGCGTACGAGTACACGACCGACCGCCGCGCGAGATCGCGGCGCGACGCGCTCATTGGCTCGATCGACGCCCGTCAGCGGCGTCGCGGTGCCTCCGGTCGCCAGTGCACGGGTTTTCCGTTCCCGTCGCGTCGACGCCGCGGCACTCCCGACGCACGCACGGCACGGCGTGAGGCGACTCGTCTCCCGCGCGCGCGTGAATCTTAGTAAGCGTACCTTCGCGCATCATGCCATCCTCCACGTGCGCCGCTCCGGCGGTCGCGTGCGCCGCGTCGGCGCGATGCCGCGCGTCGTCCGCGCGATCGAACGCCGGCGCATCGTTCGCGTCCGGACATCGCGGAACCGCCGCGCTCCGCGCGCGCGCGACGCGCGTCAACGCCGCGCGAGCGTCCGTCGCGCCTCGGGCGGTCGTGACGCCGCCGCAGACGCACGACAGCGCGAGGCCGGACACGACGCTGCGGCCAGTCTCCGCGGCCGCGGTGGATAGCTCGAAAGCGCTCGAGCAGTTCCGCAGCATGGGTGGCGCCTCACGTGAGTTTCCCCGACACCCGGACCTCCGCGCCGCGCGTCGCCTTCGACGCGATTCACCGCGCGGGTTCGACGCGATCCCTTCGACGCGGTCGCCGCGACGCGATTCATCGCGTCGCGTCGGCCGCCGAGGCTGTCGCGTCGCGTCGCCGCGTCGGTTTCGATCGCGCCCGGCGATCATATCTTAAGGGTCGCGTTTGTTTTTCCCCCGCGAGACCGTGATATGCGCGATTATTTCGCATCTATCTTCTCCTCGTCCCCGGCCGAGTCGCTGACGCGCGCCTCATCCCCCGCGATCGTCGTCAAAAACACAACAGGCTACGCGTCCGAGGCAAAGTCTTCCATCATCGCGATCGGGCTGACGATCCACAACTGCCCCGTGGAGATTCGAGAGAAGATGGCGGTTCCCGAGGACAAGTGGGAGCACGCCGTCGCGCAGCTGTGCAACTTTCCGCACGTCGAGGAGGCGGGCATCCTCTCCACGTGCAACCGCCTGGAGATTTACGTCGTGGGCCTGTCGTTCCACCGCGGCGTCCGCGAGGTGGAGGAGTGGATGGCGCAGTACAGCGGCGTCCCGCTCGAGGAGCTCAGGGAGCACATGTTTCTGCTCAGGGACCAGGACGCGACGGCGCACCTCCTGAAGGTGTCCGGCGGACTAGACTCGGTCGTCATGGGCGAAGGGCAGATCTTAGCGCAGGTGAAGAACGTCTTCGCGCTCGGCGAGTGCGTGGACGGGTTCGGGAGGCACCTCAGCGGTCTGTTCAAGGCTGCGATAACCGCGGGGAAACGGGTTCGAAGCGAGACGTCAATCGCGTCGGGCGCGGTGTCGGTGTCCTCCGCCGCCGCGGAGCTCGTGCAGATGAAGCTCCCGGGGAACTCGTTCGAGGGGTGCAAGGTGATGATCGTCGGCGCGGGGACGATGTCCAGGCTCCTCGTGAAGCACCTCGTCTCGAAGCGGTGCACGGAGATGACGATCGTGAACCGATCGCGGCCGCGGGTGGAGGAGCTGCAGGCGGATTTCCCTGAGGCGAACATCACGATCAAGCTCATGGACGAGTTTCTCGAGTCCGCGGCGGAGCACGACGTCATCTTCACCGCGGCGTCCACCGGGGTCATCATCTCGAAGGCTGACCTCGCGAAGATGCCCGCGGCTGGCGCTTCAGTGGGCGGTCAGCGTCGCCTCGTCGACATCGCGGTGCCGAGAAACGTCGACGCGGATTGCGGAGAGGACGAGAGCACCATCGTGTACAACGTCGACGACTTGAAAGAACTCGTGGAGGCGAACAAGGAGGCGCGCGAACGCGCCGCGGACGAGGCGAGGGAGCTCCTCGCGCACGAGCAGGCGTCGTTCGAGGCGTGGAGGGACTCGTTGGAGACGGTGCCGACGATCAAGCGTCTGAGAGGCAAAGCCGAGGCGATTCGCGCGGCTGAGCTGGACAAGGCGATGGGGAAGCTCGGGGACGGGCTGACGAAGAAGCAGATGAAAGCGGTCGAGGAGCTGTCGAGGGGGATCGTGAACAAGCTTCTGCACGGGCCGATGCAGGCACTGCGGAGCGACGGCACGGACCCGAGCGAGGTTGGCGAGACGCTCGTGAACATGCACGCGTTGGAGAAGATGTTCGACTTGAAGAACCAAAACGTCCCGCAGCGAGGAGGACGGAAGTGATCCCCCGGACGCCTTTGTTTTCTTTTCGCCGCGAGAGAAGACGAGAGGAGACGACAAACGCGAGGGGCGACGACGCGCGCGCGTCTACTATTATCACGCGGACTTAGCCGCGACGAGTGTAACACCACATTGATTCTACTACGACGACGCGTTACTACTGTAGACGCCTCTCGCCCGCTACGACGATTCGTACTTTGAGCGCTTCCTCTCGAGCGACCGGAGCGTGGGGGGCAGCCCCAACGCTGCGAACGATCGTTGCGCGAAGGCGCGGAACGACTCCTTTTTCGGCGCCCCTTCCCCGGAACCGACGGCTTCCACGACGAGGAGATCGCACGGGTCGCCGTCGGCGTCGTCGCGGACGCCGGCGGACGCGCGCACGTCGTACCCGAGGCACGACAGCCGCCACAGCGTGTGCGTCCGAGCGGCGGCGTTTTCCCAGACGCGTTCGAAATCTTCAAAGCAGTGCGCGTCTTCGCCGTCGAAGAGTCCCGCGTAGTCCACGAACACGTTGCGGTCAATCTCGTTCGGTCCGCGCGCGTGACACATCGCGCACAGCGAGTAGCTCCACATCTCCCGGACCGTCGATACCTGTTCATAACGACGTTCGCGTTCGGAACGTTCTCTTTCCCGTGGCGTCATCGTTGAAGTTTCGATCGCCGTGATACCCCATTCGCGCGTTTGCGTCCTCTCCTCGTCTGCGAAAAGGTGATCTCGAAGGGCGTTCGACATGTCGTAGAATCTCCTGGCGTCGTCTTCCGATAACCTGCGACCCACTGGGATCACGCAGAGCCCATCGAGTTCGAGCTCGTAATCCACGCGCGGCGGAAGGCAATCGCGGGTGGCGTTTTCCACCCCCGGTATTACTGCCCCCGTGATTCTCCCCCCCTGGAAATACGCCCGCATCCGGTCTATGTACCCGCCGAAGCCGAGGTGGTCGCAAAATTCTTTCCTGTAACCGTCCTCGCCTTCTTCGTAGCCATAGTGTTTACCCAACGACCTGTTGAGATTCTCCGGGTATCGACCTTCTACGAACGACTCTCTTCCAAACTCCTCGACCTTATACAAGAGCGCGAGCTTCAGCGCATCCTCGTAATCGCGTACACTGAGCTCACCGTTCGAATGCGCGAGCCCGGGACCCTCGAGAGGGTCTTTGGACGGTCGAAACGCGCCCCACCCGCCCCCGTGCGCGGCCGCCTGCTCCGACGTGTCCGAGGACGCCGTCAACGCGCGCGCGATCGTCGTCGCGTTCGTTCTCGCCATCAGAAGCTTCGCGTGCTCGAGTAGAATATCCAACGGCGGCGGATTTTCCGCGGTTCGATGCGGATACTCGCGCGGACCCTTGCTCTTGCACGTCTCGAAAAACTCCGGGCTCGAGAGGTGCAACAGCGCGTCGACGGCTCGCACCGGGACGCACGACGTCCGAAGCGTGATCTTCGGCGATCCGCTTTTTCGCGCCAAAGCCATCCCAATCCGCACGATGTCGAAGCACGTGTCTTGAGGGTCGTGTAATCGTTCGCGCGTCATGATCTCGTTCGCGCGTCGTTCCCAGAGTCGATCCGCGGCGGCGGCGACCTCGGACGCGTCGCTCAGTCCGCCGCCGATCACGACCGGCGGGCCTTCTCCGTCGCCGCCAAAGTTGGCACCCATTCGAGCAGCCGCCGCGTCTGTCCGCCGCTTGCGCGCCGCCTTGCGCGTCGCTTCCCTGAGCGCGTCGCGCAAGTCGTTCGCCTCGTCGCCGAGCTTGTCCACTCTTCTCTTGACCTCGAGCGCGCGCTCGTAATCCTTTCGGTTCTCCGCGTCCGTCAACTCCGTCGTCGCGTCGCGCAGTTCTTCCCACTTGTCCTGCAGCTTGTACTCGAGGACCCCGACGTCCTCGTCGCTCATCGCGCGGACGCGCGCGCTTCGATCGTCCGCCTCGTCGCCCTCGCGCGCGCGCGTCGCGGGTTCGTACCGCTCCGTCGCGCCCGTGCCGTTCAACGCGGACGCGTCCGCGTTCAACGCGGAGGCGTCCGCGGGCGCCGTCGTCTCGACGCGGCGTCGGCGATCGCTCCCGCGAGGCGATTCGTCCTCGTCCTCGCGACCGCGTCTTCGACCGGAGGAGTGCACCATCGCCGACGCGGTTCCTTCGGCGGTATCCTCGGCGGCGGCGGCGGCGTTGGCCGTCGCTTGTGTCGACGGCATCGCACGCGGGCGCGCGCGTCGTCCCGAGCGCAGTCTCGGACTGAGCGAGCTTTGATTTGACGACGGCAGCGGTTCCGAGCTGAGGGAATAAATAAATTTGACACGCGTGCGTGATGAAGGCGGGCCTCTCGAGGGCTAAACGCACAGTAGGCATAAGACAGTAAACGAGCGGCGTTACCCTACTACAGTACAGTACGACATCAGAAGTTCCTACCTATCCCGCAGTGCATCCGCCCGACGCCCTTATCGCTGAACGCGTACTCCAACCGCAGCGGCCCAACCGGCGACGCCGCGGAGACCCCCAACCCGTACCCGTACCCTTGCCCCGGCTTCCCCCGCGTCCCCCCCGGGTCTCCCAACACGCTCGCGCCCGACTTCAGATCGCTCCCGACGTCGAAGAACGCGTACCCGTTCAGCGTGTCCGTCGCGAGCGGCACGGAGAGCTCCGCGGAGCCGACGATGAACTTCCTTCCCGTCCCGACGCCGCCCTCCGGGTACCCGCGCACGCTGTTGGCGCCTCCGATGGAGAAGGCGTCGTACGGCGGCAAATCGCCGATGACGTTGCCCCCCTTCGCGGCGACGAAGAAACGCGTCCCGGCGACGTGAAAGTTTCTCTGCGCGCGCACGAGGACGCGGTTGAACGACAGCATGTCCGGTCGTATCGGCAGCGCCTGCTCCGCGGTGAGCACGAGCTGCGCCTCGTCCCGCCCTCTCCCCTCGTACACGAACCGCGTCATCGCGCTGAACGACGTGTCGACGTCGTGCCCTGAGAACGTCAACGGCGAGCCGTACGCGTCGTGGAGGCACTCGCGCTTGCTCTCGTCGTGCGTCGACGCGCGCTGGTACGTCGCCGCGAACGTCCCCGTCCACGACGCCGCGAGCGGGCGGCGGTACTCCACGCCGGCGACGTTGCGACGCGCGAAGACGCCCTTCGGGCCGTCGTCCGACGCGAGGTCCGCGGCGCCGCCCGCGCCGTCGCCGTCGTCGTCGCCTAGCGCGGGCTCCGTCTTGCCGTGGATGTGCTCCAGCGTGTTCGTCTCCGTGTCCAAGTACGTCCGCCGCGACGTTCGGTTCGCGTCGCCGACCCACGGATCCGTGTGGGTCACCTTCAGATCAACCTCCGCGCGACCGCCGCCGGTGACGGACGGGCTCACCTCGAGCCTCGCGGTCAGCGTCTGACACCGCCCGAACAAGTTCCTGCGGAAGAAATCCGCGTTCGCGACGAGCGCGTTCAGGCCTCCCTGCTGCAACCCCTTCGCGGTGATCCCGCCGCCGCCGCTGAACCCCGCGCTCTGCTTCTCGACGACGTTGATGATGGTGTCCACCAGGTGCAGCTGCCCGTCCGTCTCGTCGCGTCTCGGCGCCCACGTGATGGTCGCCGTCTCCAGACCCGCGGTCGCGATGAGATCCTGGAGGTCCTCGACCATGCGCGCGTGCAACACCTTCCCGGGCTTGACGCTCTTGAGGTGCCGGGTGATCATCTCCGGTCGCGTCGAGCCCACGACGGGCTCGCCGGTTTTGCGGTCGAGGAATCGAATCTGCACCTCGCCGATCCTCGGCTCCGTGATGGCGATCTCGAGCAGGCCGTCGGGGTTGATGACCACGGAGTACCACTCCGCGGGTATCTTGCGCGCTTCGTACCAGTCCCTGATCTTCGTGACTTCCTTCTCGAGGACGTTCGTGTTCATGACTTTGCCAAACTGCGGTTTAAACGCCTGGTGCAGAAGCCGCGTCGGGTACTCGTCGCAGCCTTTCACGATGAACCCGCGCACGACCGGGTTCGCGACGAGCTTGAACGTCAGCGCGACGCCGTCTCTGGTGTCCACCGTCATCGGCGCGACCGTGGAGAACTTCCCGGTGTCGAAGATCCGCTGCAGGTCCGTCTGGATCTCGCGTTTGGTGTACGAAAAGTTGGGCTTGATGAACACCACCGATCGCGCGAGCTGCTCGAGCTCCGGGGTCTCGCCGTCGAAGTCGACGGACGATATCAGGATCGGGCGCTCGTCCTCCTCGGAGTCGCCCCCATTCGCGTCGTCGTGGCTTACGGAGGACGACGACGACGACGGCGGCGGCGTCTCCGCGGCCTGCTGCTGCTGCTGCTGCTGCTGCGGCTGCGCGTCCGCGACGTCCGCGAGATGATGCGTCGTCACCGGCGCGCCGCCCGGAGGGGCGCGGAGCAGGACGCCGCCGCGGCCCTCGCCGAGGCCGCCGCGCGCGGGCTCGACGCCGACGGACGATTTTGACGCGGTGTTGCACGGCCGCGAGGGCGCGGTGGACGCCGGCGACGACGCCGTGGTCACGCTCGCGAACGGCGACGACGAAGGGCGACGCGCGGTGCTGGACGCGATCATGATCTCGCGCAGGGGGGCGATCACGCGCGCGCGCTGCGACGCGACGGACGCGCGCGCGGCGTTCAACGCGTCCGCGAGACGCGCGCGTACCGCGCGCGGGCGGTCGCGAGACTCCGCCGGGGAGGACGACATCTCGAGAAGACGCGGGAACCCGGACGCGGGGACCCGGCGCGGCGTGCGTGCGGCGCGCGCGATGGCACCACTGGCGGAGGTCCATCCGTCGCGCCCAACGGCGCTTTCAGTTTGAGGCGACCGCTCGTAGTCGCGACGGCGAAAAAGCGCCGCGGACGGGCACTCCGTCGAGCGCGCGAGGCGCGATGGCGTCGCGCGTCGCCACGAGCGTCGCGACGACGACGACGAC